AACTGCCACTGAAACGTGCTGGTCAAGAATCAGTTGTGGAAAACAGTCTGTTTCCCTGCTTGCTTTGCCCAAAGTCCAACAAACCCACACTTGGGTTTGTGTGCCTCAGGCTGCCTCCCTTTCCCTCTAGAGTCTGTAACTGGGTAATCAAGTCAGCTCTTTCCTTTTCCTGATTGCAAACTGACAAAAAGGAGAATGCACCGAGGCACAGCAAGTAGCCCTGCTGCTGTCAGATGCTTCTACCAGCAAGGTCGTATCTCCCAATCCTGCCCGTAGTGGCAGAGGAGGGACATAACCCGCCTTCCTGAGTCTAATCCAAAACCCCTGGGTGAGTCTGGCTACTCTCAGGAATGAAAAACGCAGTGCCGCCACCCCCCCCGCTCCGGAGCCTCCACCCCCAGCCATGGCTTCTGGGCACCCACAAAGCCCAGAGCTGCTGGTGGAGCCAGAAGTTGTTCCCCTAGCAGCCGTTGCTCCTCTCAAGAGCAGAGGGGGAACCTCTGGAGGACAAAGGCTGTCAGGACACACTCCAGAAAGGAGATCAGTGCCAGTCTGTCACCTGATGGCAAAGAAATAATTGTAGCTCAACCACATGGTTAAAAAATACTCCAGTCAACACCCACAGAGCATCATCACCATCAGGAAGGAGTGCTTCAGTGGGGTGGCACCTGCTGCAGAGCTTCAGGCTGCGGACCTTCCTGTCCCTGTCCCAGGACACCACCCAACAGCAGCTCCCAAGGCAGTTCCCTTTGAACAGACTGCTTGGCATCTCCTCTTCTCTGCAGAGGACCTGCTGCTAGCCTGTGGCCAGCGTTAGCCGCAGGACCCTCTGGCTCTCCAGCCCACACTTGCCCATGACTATTGCTCCCGCCCCAATAAGGTAGCCTGTTATCATTCCTTGGAGACCTAAAAAGGGGTTTGGCCTGTAAAAATGAGGGTTTGGACACTCCAGATATGGTTTGGAGCATAAAACAGACTATCTGGCTTTAAAAATGCCTCTTCGGAGGCTGAAAATGAGGCTTTGCAGATGTGGCTTTGGACTCCAAAAAGAGCACTTTACAACAGAAGCCTGAGCCTTTGTACCATAGAAATGAGGCTTTGGAACCTCTAATGGGGTTTCATAAGCCAAAAGTAAGTCTGGGGAAAAAAAAAATCATAGAATGGTTTGGGTTGGAAGTGACTTAGAAGTTCACCTAGTTCCCTCGCACGGGCAGCGACACCTCCCACTAGACCAGGCTGAACAAAGTCCTGTCCAACCTGGCCTTGAACACCTCCAGGGATGGGGCATCAATAACTTCTCTGTCAACCTGTTCCATTGTCTCACCACCCTCACACTAAAGAATTTCTTCCTAATGTCCAACCTAAATCTCCCCTCTTCCAATTTAAAATCATTGCCCCTTGTCCTCTCACTACACACCCTGATAAACCCCTCCCCAGCTTTCCTGGAGCCCCTCCAGACACTGGAATGTGCTCTAAGGTCTCCCCACAGCCTTCTCTTCTCTGGGCTGAACAACTAAAAATCTCCCAGCCTGTGCTCACAGCAGAGCTGCTCCAGGCAGCAGATCATCTCCATGGCCTCCTCTGGACTTGCTCCAAGAGCCCCATGTCTCTCCTGTGCTGAGGACTCCAGAACTGGACACAGAGAGGTGGCTCAAGTGTGGAGTAGAGGGACCCGATCACCTCCCTAGCCCTGCTGGCCACACTTCTTTTGATGCAGCCCAGGATGAGGTTGGATTTCTCCCTGTGAGTGCACATAGCCAGCTCTTATTGAGCTTTTACTCTGTCAACTCCCCCAGGTCCTTCTCCTCAAGGCTGTTCTCAATCCATTCTCTGCCCAACTTGTATTTGTGCCTGGGGTTGCCCCAACCCAGGTGCAGGACCTTGCACTTGGCCTTGCTGAACTTCATGAGGTTGGCATGGACCCACCTTTAGAGCCTGTCATGGTCCCTCTGGATGGATCCCTTCCCTCCTGGAGGGAACCACACCACACAGCTTGGTGTCACCAGAAAACTTGCTGAGGGTGCATCCATTCCACTGCCCATGTCACTAACAAAGATGTTCAACAGTCCCAGTATCGACTCCTTTTTATTTTTTTATTTTTTAGTTATTTTAAAAAAAAAATAAATTCATTCCAGAGGCTGCTCTGGAGGAAAGACCCCTTGAGAGAGGAGAAGAGAGGAGAGGGAGGGTCCTGTGGATCCTGCTGGGGACTCTCTGGGGTCTGTTGGATGGCATGGAGCCCCAAGTGGCATGGCCCTGCTCCCAACCTGGCCTGGCCCTGGGCACCATCAGGTGGGCACCACAACGAGTCTGGCAGGATCCTGCCCTATCACGCACCCCAGCACAGGGGTTGCCAGGGGACTGAAGCCCAGGTTGTCCGTGGGGATGCTGAAGGCCATCAGCTTTGCCCCCATGGTCTGCAGCAAGTCACTGTGGGCCTTGCAGACTTGGGCCAGCTTCCACTGCAGGTCCTTGATGGTGGCATTCTTGGAATTGATCATGTCTTTCAGCTCATGTGAGACCACAGAGAGGGCAGCTGGGTCGAGGTTGGAGACTGCGAGGACCTCACTGAGCTCTATCTCCTCCTTCTCCAGGATGCTGAGGGACCCCTTTTCGGTTTGTGCTCCAGGAGCAGGGTCTTGAAGCCTGTTTTCTGCTGCACCTCCTGAATGGCTTTGGTGAACTTCTGGTAGATCACACTCCTCCTGCACCTTCCTGAACCTCTGCTTCAGCACTTCATGCTCCCATTGGAGATCCTTCAGTTCTCTCAGATAGGCTTTTGTGTTCATCAGGGCCATCTTGTCCTTGTAGACCAACTTCTTCTGCAGCTCAAACAGCTGCTCCTGGGCCTGCTGCAGGGGCTCCTCCAGCTGCTTGTTATGCAGCAGCATGTCTGTCTTCTCCTTTTCCAGGTGATTCTCTCTCTTCTTTGTCTCCTCCATTTGCTCCTTCAGAGAGCTGATGAGGGACAGGTTTTTGAGGGTGATGTTGTAGTAGTTCTTCATCTCAGCGAAGGCCTTCTTGTGGTTCCTCATCAGCTCCTCCATCTGGGTGTTCTTCCTCTCCTCCAACTCATGGAGCTCCATCTTCCTCCACAGGTCAAGCTTGTCCTGCAGCACTTGCATCTCCTTGGTGTACTTGGTATCGGTCTCTCTCACTTGTCTCTTGAAGTCATTGCAGAGCCGGGCAATCTCCTCCTCTTTCAGATGCATGTTTTTCAGAGCCATCTCATTGGCCAGCTCCTGCTCCTTCAGCTCCACTTTCAAGGAGCACATGTCCTTCCATAGCCCTCTCTCCTGAGCCCAGTGATCTTTCTGGGCCCACTGCATGGACAGGCTGCCCCCTGCCTTCAGCTCCATCAGGTTCTCCAGGTGTCCATGCAACAAGTGCTTCACCTTCTGCTTGTAAATCTTGATCTCCACTTGATGCTGCTGCTCCGCCTCCTCCAACTCCCGGTCCCTGTTCTGCAGCTCAGCTCTCTTCTCCAGCTGCTGCTGGGTCACCTCCAAGAAGGTGTGGATCTTCTCACCCTCCAGCTTGAAATGGTTCCTCTCTTCTCATTCCTGCCCCAGCTCCTCCCAGGGACGCGCAACGTTCATCTCCAGCTGCTCCCTCCTCCAGGGCCACAGCACCCACCCCTGCCGGAGCTTTTCTCCCTTTCCCTCTGCCCATCTTCTGCCTGGCAGAGCTACTGTCTGCTGGCAAGGCCTCAGGGGCCTTGGGGACAGGGTCTGTATGCAGAGAAAGCTGGAGGTTGTCCCCAAAAGCCTATGGAAGGAAGGAAAAGAGGGAAAACACATCACACCGTGCTTGGTGGTGCTTCTTGGCTGACCAGCACCAGCAGCCTTGGCCAGAGGTGCCCAGTGGTGCTTGCAGCAGGGGCTGCAGCCCCTGCAGGGCAGAGGAGGCCAGAAGAGGGTCCCCAGGTGAGGGAGGAGAGCTGGGGTCATGTGCACTGTGTGTTGACCCTGCAGAGAAGCAGGACTGGCTGCTGGTCAGGGGGCTGAAACTGCTGCTGGGGCACTGGAGTGCCACCCTGGGATAGTCCCTGCTCAGGGGCAACAGGAACCCTCTTCCCCAGGGAGAGTGAGGCCAGGCCAGTCCTGCTGATTCTGGGTCCCTTGGCTCACACAAGCCTGGCGCTCATGCCACAGACAAGAGTCCCAGCACGGGGGAAGCTCATTACCTGGGTTGTGTCACTGCTGTTGAGGGAAGGAAGTGACTGGAAACTCTCCTCAGGCTCCATCTCACTTGCAGGGAGGGGAGACACAGCAGGGTGGGTAGGACACAGCACTAAGCTTTGCAAAGGGTGAAGGAGCTTTAAACTGGCAGGGCTGAGGACAAAGGCTGTGCTGGGGCTCCCCTTCCATGGGACCCCTGCAGCCAACACACCAAGGAGATGGGATCATCCAGCTGGTTGTGCTCACTGGCCTGGACCCTCCCCAGCCCCATCGATCCCTCACTCACTGAGCTGCAGCAGCTGGATGAAGGTCGCCTTGTTGGGCTCCGATGGAGAGCTGCTCTCCTGGGGAGCCTCCACCTCCTGCCAGGCCAGCCTGGAGCATCTCTTTGCCATCCTGCAAAATAGGGGAAGGGCTTGGCTGGGGGGTGAGCTGAGAGAAAGCCCTGCAAGTGGGAGGGGTTGGGCTACTGGGGAGCTGCCAGGGGGTCAGGGAAAGTTCGGGGCTGTGCTCAGCATCTCCTCGCCAGCTCCACGCTCCTACCCTGTCCCGTCACTGTCCTGCCAGACACTGCAGGGCTCAGGGCTACAGCCACTCTGGGGTGACTACGAGGTGTCCCATGGGGTTGGTCACCACGGGCCCCCTTGTGACCTGCTGCCAGGCAGGGCAGGAAGCCAGCTCACCACTGGCCCCTGGGTCCACTTGCAGTGTCCCCAGGCCCCATCTGACCTTTGAAATAAAGGAAGTTCACCCAACAGTCTAAGTACTGCTCAGTCAGTATTCACAGTGCCAGACGCACAGGGGATAGCTCCTTCAAAAATGTGCACACCTTACAGGGTAAGGTGAGAGATATATATATATACAGCTGATACTTAATTTTGTGTAATATTTCTAAGAAACTGTTTACATATTCATTAGTTTCCTGAGAAATCATTTCCATAAGTATGTGGGGGAGAGAAGATGGACTGTTTCCCACACTGCCCATTATCACATGCATGTTAAGTCCATTAGGGTCTCCTGGGGGTCATTTACTTCATCCTTGAGTCTTCCTCACAGGAAGACTTTGGCCGAGTTCTCTCCTCCTGTTTATCTCTGCTGACCCCACAGTAGAACTGGTTCCAGCAGGCATCCCTAGTTGTAGTTGAATGGCTTCTTTCTTCTTCAAGGACCCTTGTATTTCTTCCCTAAAACTACAGATAAACTCACACAAAAGGCTTTCACAACTCACTAGCAGTAGGCCCAGATGAGACATTTACACCCTACAAGCAGTTAAATATTTGAAGTCAGAGTTTGGTTAATGCTCTGTTTCACCTTCTGTCCCCTAGGGACCTTTCTGTACCCTCTGGCCTGTCAGAGAAACTGTTGGAGATGGGACCATAAAAGGAGGAAGCTAGTTGGTCTGGGGTGCAACTGGTGCAACCACCAAGGGAAAACCCACCAGGCAAAAAGTTGGCAAGTCAGGATCAGAGGGGAAAAGAGGGACTAGAAGGTGCAGCTGAGAATGAGCTGGGGATGCCTGAGGGTCCCAGCCCAGCAGCCTTGTACCTGCTCCATGCAGCCTGCAGCAGGACAACATTCCCTGGCCCTGACGGAACAATAATACACAGACATGGATGACAGGACAAAGTTTATTAAAGAACAAATTCCAACAGAGGCTCTGGAATTAAACACAGGGCACGAACTCCAGCAAAATATCAATCTGCTGGTCAGGAACAGGGAGATGGTTCGTGTGGGGTGTGCAAAATAAACGACCTGGGCAACAACCAACTGACAGGGAAGAGCTTTGTGCCTGGCACCAGGGAACATACTTTAGAGAGAGAGAACTGGAGACAGAGACAGATAGAAATGGTTATAAATAGAGCTATCAATAGATATAAATGATCCCATCCAGCTATCAATAGATATCAATAGATACAGATGTAATTAATACAATTTATGCTCAGGCTGTAAGAAAACTTTTCCCATTGGACGCTGAGCTGGGAACCAGGGATGCACCATGTCCAAAACCTTCTTTCTGAGCCTTTCCTTGGCATTTTGTTCCCAGCAGATGTTTGGGTCCAACATCAGGCTGCTCCTGTGTTGGTCACCAGGCCAGTCTTCTGCAGATGCATCAGCAGATGGGGCAGAAGCTCCACGATGGGCAGTTCCAAGCCCAGCAGAGGCTGAGGAGAAAAGAGACAAGATTCCTAGTGTTACAGGGACAGCAGACAGGGGCAAACAAGTCACTGCCAACTCATGTTGGGCACCTGGAGAGACTCCAAGCCAGAAAGGGACTGAGGAGCTCCCAAGAGAACAGACCAAGGAAAGGGCTGAGCACAAAGGAACAAACATTTCTTCCACACCAGCTGAGCAGCTCAACATGCACAGGAATGCAACGGCTTTCACAGCCTGGGTTGGGGTGGAGGGACCTTAAAGACCATCTAGAGACAACCCGCTGCATGGGCAGGGACACCTCCCACCAGCCCAGGCTGCTCCAAGCCCCATCCAACCTGCCCTTCAACACTGCCAGGGATGGGGCAGCCACAGCTTCCCTGGGCAACTTGGGCCAGGGTCTCACCACCCTCACACTAAAGAATTTCTTCCTAATATCTCATCTAAATCTCCCCTCTTTCAGTTTAAAATCATCCCAACCACCTATTTCAGAACTTCTGCAGTATCAAGAGATAAAATAAAGTAGACTGTCTGAAAAAAAGAAAGTCACATGAATTCTAATGAATAATGATTTCACATTGGTATATATCAATTAAATTTGAGAAAGCACCTATGACAGCACTACTCTCTAAGAAGACTTGCTAGCAAATTAAGAGTAAACTTTAAGCTTCCTAAGTCTCTACTCCATGCCCCACTTCAAAGAAGTAAAAAAATTTTTATTGTATATAATTTGCACTTATCTTCCATGCTGGGCAATGACTTCTAGTGAGCTAATGAGCTGATGAACTTGCAGATGTTTAGCCAGTGCACCGTTCCTAAGGCAAGCAACATACTTGAATCTCAACAGTATCTCTGATCAACTCTGCCCAACACAACAAAGAACCAGCCCCGTGGCTGCTCACTCAACTCCCCCCCTCACACACACACTGGGATGGGGAGGACAAATCCAACTAGAAGCTCATGGGTTGAGACAAAGGACAAGGAGGGTTCTTCACCTTTCAAGGTCACAGCCAAAACGTATTCAACTTGGGGAACAGTAATTTAATTTCACACTAATCAATGCCCACAGGACACAGACACACCCAGCAGGACTTACATACATTACCCCACCCCTCCCTTCTTCCTGGGCCCAAATCCCTTTGTTCCACATTTCTCTCCCTCCATCCTCCCAGCAGCACAGGGGGATAGGGCTTAGAGTCAGTTCACAGGCTGGTGGTTCCTGCTGCTTCTTCCTCCTCAGGAAGGATTCCTCACAGTCCTGCCGTTTCCCTATAGGGTCCCTCCCATGGGAGAGAGTCCTCCACGAACCTCTCCTCCATGAGTCCTTCCCACCAGATCCAGAGCTGCTCAAGCTGCCCACAGAATCACACGTGCTTCAGGAGCAGGGGGCTGGGGGAAAGCCCCGGGGGCTTCCACAGCAGCAGCATCTGATGCCACTGGCAGCAAATCTGAGTCCATTGGCCACAAAATCCAAGTCCCCCCCTCTTGGCACCTTCAGGGAATGTTCCACCACGTTCCTCCATGAGTGCAGGGGCACAACTGCCATCTCACCATGGGCTGCAGGGAAACTTCTGCTTGGCACCTTCTTCCCCTTCTTCCTCACCAACCACCGATCTGCCTCTCCAGCGTTTAACTGCTTCTTATCTCAGTTACTTTGTATGTTATAATGGCAGAGGTTCATCTATTGTCCCTCTAATGGCTCCTCGGTTGGTTTTGGAGCAGGGGGAGCTTCTCAGCTCCTTACCTGAGCCTTCCCTCGCTACCAAAAATGCCACCAAACCAGCACAATTTCAAATATGGGAGAACAAAAGTAACTTCTACCTTTGCTGTGCCAGTCTGAGACCCGTGGAAAATCTTCACCCCAGCAACACAGGTTTCCCTTGCCTGCAGGGTGGCAGAGCTATTTACTAGTTGGTCTTCTCTTCCTTCAGAAAAGAGGGATTCCCATTGGATTTTTCATCCTAGAACACCAATAGTTCATCTTCAGTCAATCCCCTCTGAAGCAACCCCATTTTCCCAAACACACTGAACACAGAGATCCTGTGACCAGACTCTCAGGCAAATGCCACAGTAGAAGCATTTTAGCTTCTTGCTCCCAGACAAACACAAGAGTAAACATTCCTCTGAACCAGGCCATGCTACAACACACCCACCTCACACATCAGGGAGAACAGGATCCAGCTCAAACTGAAAACCTCCCAGCTCCCTCCCGCAGCTGAATTTCACTCACCTGTAGGAGAGGGTTTTAACTTCCTTAACAACCTAATCCCACCCCCCTCCTTAAAACCAGCCCAACCTCATCATAAACATGCAGACACCTGAAAAGCACCAGGCACGAGCAGAGGGAGTTACTTGAAGTGACAGATCAGCCCAGCCTGACACGTTCTCTTGGGAAGACAGTGAGAAGTTCAGCTGAGACCTGCTCTTACATCAGAGAAACATCAAGTTCCCCACAAGCACAAGATCATCCAGACTGAGGATTACAACCATTAGGTAAACCAAAGGACACCAGGGATTTGCAGTGACCCCGGGGGGCTTGCAGGGAAGCAGCACATTTCACTGCACCAGCAGGGACCTTCGCCCAGCAGCTCCTCACCTCAGAGTCTGAGGCCTCTTCAGACACAAGTGCTTATGTTTCACTTCTTTTTGGTTTTGGTGGGGATGAACTGAAGGACGATCCAAACACTGATCCCAAAAGCAACAGCAGAATAGATGTAAAATCTGTGCAGCCATAAGGACACCAGGCAAGTATGGAGGAAATTCCACATATGCTTTAAGACATCTAAATCCAGAATAAAGCACAGATTTGGCAAGAGCAGATTCTTACACTAGTAATTTAGAATAAGCACACAAGAACATAACTATACAGGACCCACAGACTCATGCCCTCGGCTACTCTCAGGCTCTGCAGAAAAAGTTTCTGGCCAAAGGCAAGAAAATAGAATTGAATGTTAAGAGTCTTCACCTCCTCATAGGTGTGTAAGCTGTTTCATCTGTGTATCAGAGTCACCATTTGAGATCATCATACAAACTCTTGGGTTTTCTTAGAGCAGGTTCTGTTAAAATGAAAGGCAGAAAACACTTGTGCTGTCCAAGTGTAAAGTTGTTATAAAACATCCACTGTATCACTGGCACAGAACTGACATATGTAGCTCTCCAGAGCTAAAAACCTCTATTTCAAGGGGGAAATCCTCTCCACTGCGCTTACTGCTGAACAACTCTAGCTTGTACACATTAAACACCATACTGATTACAACAGCTTTGATGCTGAGTTTCAGGCCCAGACTGAAACCTGGACTCAACTGAAAGTCGTTTTCCAGAATTCTATCACGTGGGTGAGATTTGGTGCAGAACCAACCTGAAAATTCAGGAGATATAATGCCATAGCTGATGTGATTACCTACCTCATAAAAAACATGTAAGAGTTTACATAAGGCTTGCTTGTGACACTTACAGGCTGAGAAATGCAGCTGAGCCCCTGCTGCCGTTCTCTGCAGTCCGACTGGATCTTGGTTTTGCAGCCACCAAACGAGCACGGGAATGACGTTCCAAGAGGCTGCAAACCTTGTTTGCCTTCTTTTCCTGGGGTTGTTCCCAACAGGACAAAAGCTTCTTCCCCCCTCTCCCCCACACAAGATCAGAGCTGAAGGGGCCCTCCCCCGTGAGGCCGCTGCCCCGGGGCCTCCA